CTCATGTTTACAGTTTGTAAAAAAATATGCATTTTTAAATTTCTTTATTTTGACCTATTCACATCTTTGAATGCAAAAGTTGTCTCTCGAAGGAAATATGTAGTAGGATATTTATTTTTAATTTGTTCCATAGCCTTTGCATCTTCTGTGGGGTGTTCTATTTATTAATATTTGATATATCTACTGATCTGGGAATTATGCCCACAGTTTTGCTATTTGAATTGCATACCTTAAGTCATTTTTGTTCTTCTCTTCTTCCTTTATTTGTATTTTATGTGTTGTACAGATATGTTTTAGTATCACTTTAATCCTTAGTGGCTTCCTTTAGTCATGTCACTTTCTTACACGCTTTAGTGGTTGCTCTAGGAATTGCAATATCAATGTATAAGTTATCAAAATCTACCACAGGTCAATATTGACAAGATGTCAGCTCTTCTCTACTTCATCTGCAGATTCAAGGCAATCCTAGTCAAAATATCAGTGAGTTATTTTGTGGTATTGGCAAGACAAGCTGATTTTAAAGTCTGTATGGAGAGGCAAAAGACTGAGGATAACCAACACAATATTGTAGGAGAACAAAGCTGGGGAATTACGCAGCCCAACTTTATGACATATTGTAAAGCTATAGTAATCAGGATAGTTCAGTTAGGGTGACAGAATGGACTTACACCAATAGATCAATGGATGGATTAGAGAGCTCAGAAAGAAAACCACATAAATATAGTCAACTGATCTTTGACAGAGGACCAAGGACATACAATAGAGAAAAAAATCATATTTTCAATAAATGGTGCTAGAACAGCTGGACATCCACATATGAAAGAGTGAGTCTACACACCTCACACCCTTCACAAAAATTAAGTCAAACTATAGACCTAAATATAAAATGTGAAACTTTAAAAATCCCTAGACAAAAACATAGTAGAAAACCAAGATAACCTTAGGATTCGCAGTAGTTTTTAAATATAACAAAAAGGCAGGATGCATATAAGAAAAAATCAATAAGCTAGACTTTGTTAAAATTAAAACTTCTTCTCCGTGAAAGAGAACTTCAAGAAAAGAAAAAGCCAGAGACTGTGAGAAAATATTTTCAAAAGATATATCTGACAAAACTGTTATCTGAAATACAGGAAGCATGTTTAAAACTCAACAACAATAAAACAAACCTGATTAAAACATGGGCAAAAGATCTGAACAGACACTTCATCAAAGAAAATGTACAAATGAAAATATGCATATGAAAATATGATTTACATAATAGGAGGAAAATACAAATTAAAACAATGATGAGATGCCACCATACACATATTGGAATGACCAAAACCTTGAACACTTACAACACCAAATGCTCAAATGCTGACAAGGTTGTGTAATAATAGGAACTTTCATTAATTGCCAGTGGGAATGAGAAACATTAGAGCCACTTTAGAAGATATTTTGGTGGTGTCTAACAAGACTAGTCATATTCTTGCCATATAATCTAGTAATTGTCCTCCTCATTATTAACTCTAAAATAGTGAAGAGGCTACATGCTGTGTAATTCCAACTCTATGACCATCTGAGAAAGGCAAAACTGTAAAGACATGAAAAGCTTCACTGGTTGCCTGGGGCTGGGGGCAGGGAGAGATAAACAGATGGAGTACAGAGAATTTTTAGGGCAGTGCAAATACACTGTATTATACTATAATGGTGGATACATGCAATTATAAATGTGTCAAAACCCGCAGAATGTCCAGCACCATGAGTGAGCCCTAATGTAAACTATGGATTTTGGGTGATAAAGAAATGTCATTGTAAATTCATCAATTGCAAAAAATAAAAATAAATGGGCATCTTTGGTAGGGAATGTTGATAACCAGGGAGGCTGTGTATGTGGGCACAGCAGGTATGTGGGAAATCTCTCTACCTTCAAAGCACTTTAGATATAAATTTAAAACTACTCTAAAAAAGTATTTTATATAAATATATAAATAAATTTAAAATAAGTACAAAAAATCTACAAGTTAAAAGTGGTTTATATTGTGGTGAAATAGAGCAACTTTGTTTCAGTAAGGATCTACACCTCCCCCTTATTTCATGCTATTTTCATATATGTGACATTTGTCAAATGTCAAAATATAAAATACACTCTTTTAATTGTTGTGTTAAATAATCTTGTATTTCAAAAAAAAATAAAGAGGAAAAAAAGTATTTTTTAATGCAGATGTTGCAGCTATTTAGTATTTCTGGTGTTCTTCGTTTTTTCCTGTGAAATTGTTTTACCATTTAGAGTCCTTTTTCTTCCCATAGGAGGAATTTCCATACATAGTTTTTCTAGAATAGCTACACTGGCAATGGATTCTCTTAATGTTTGTGGGCCCTGAAATTTCTTTTATTTACCATTATTTTAGAAGGCTAATTTCAGTGGACTTAGAATTCTTGCCAAATGTTAGTGTTTTGAGTAAGTCATCGGGACACCGTCTGGTCCCCACTGCTTCTGATGAAAAGTCAGCTGTTACTCTTACTTCTGTTTATCTTTAGGTCACAATAATTTTTATCTTGCCATTTTTAGTAATTTTTTCCTTATCTTTTGGCAATTAGACTACGCTGTATCTAGATTAAACACTCTTTTTGTTAGTTTTATTTGGGGCTCATTGACCTTCAAGATATGCAATTGCTTTTTATTCAAATATGTGACTTTCCAGTCAGCATTTGAATATGTATTTTTCCCCATTCTGTTTCTCCTCCCCTTTAAAAATTATTTCATATTTTTTATTTTATGGGTATATAATAGATGCATATATGTATGAAGTGCATTAAGTATTTTGATACAGGCATACAATAAGTAAAAATCACATTAGGGTAAAGGGGTATCCATCACATCAGGCATTTTTCATTTCTTTGTGTTAAAATCTTCCAGTTATATTCTTTTAGTTATTTTTAAATTATAATAAATTATTATTTACTGTAATCACCCTGTTGTGCTATCAAATACTAAATCTTTTTTCTACAATGTAATTATGTTTTTGTGCCCATTAACTTTTCCCACTCCTCCCACCCCTCATTACCCTTCCCAGCTTCTGGTAGCCATCATCCTCTCTCTATCTCCATCAGTTCAATTGTCTTAAGTTTTAGATCCCACAAATGAGTGAGAACATGCAAAGTGTGTCTTTCTATGCCCGGCATGTTTTACTTCACACAATTTCCTCTATATTCTTGCAAATGACTGCAGCTAATTTTTGAAATAGCTGAAAGTATCCCATTGTCTATATGTGCCATATTTTCTTTATCTATTCATCCGTTGATGGATACTTAGGTTGTTTCCAAATCTTGGCTATTGTGAATAGTGCTGCAACGAACTTGGGAATGCAGGTATCTTTTCAACATTCTGATTTCATTTCCTTTGGATAAATACCCTGTTGGGAGCCCAACCATGTGAATACTTGCAAAGCAAGTTTCACAAGACGGTGGTCGAGCTCAGACACAGGGACGCCTGATAGAGGGAAGTTGACATAAAGTTGAGTCAGGAACAGAAAAAAGGAGAATCCTGTTAAAAGATGACCAGATGTTCGGAACCAGAAAATCCTGCAGTCACAAGGAACAATGTCTCGATGTACATGTTTTTTATGAGCACCAGGAATGACTATCACCGTTTACAACCACTGATTGTGTGTCTCTGCCATCCTTATTGTATAGAGTATGTGAATTAGTGATCTGTTTTTCTCTTACACTGATGTAAACCAGAGCCTGAAAAATGTATATAATCGAAGTCTTTGAGAAATAAAGTTGCTGGTGGAGCACTCACTCCCCAGACCTCCTGACCCCGCTTTTCTGTCTCCTATTTTTCCTGCGCACCCCCAACTCAGGTTTTGAATCCTCTTGCTGGCCGAGAGTTCCCGCCAATACCCAGTATTAGAATTGTTGGATCTTGTGGTAGTTTAATCAATAGTTTTTAAGGAAGCTCCAGAAAGGCTGCACCAATTTACATCCCCAGCAACAGTGTACAAGGTTTCCCTTTTTCTCCACGTCCTCACCAGCATTCAATATTGCCTTTCTTTTGAATGAAAGCAATGTTTACTGGGAGGAGATGATATATTATTGTAGTTTTGATTTACATTTCTCTAATGATCAGAGATGTTGACCACCTTTTTATATACCTGTTTGCCATTTGAATGTCTTCTTTTGAGCAATGTCCATTCAGACTTTTGCCTGTTTTTATATAAGATGATTAAATATTTTCCTACTGAGTCGTTTAAGCTGCTTATATGTGCAGGTTATTGTTTTCTTATTAGATGGGTCGTTTGTACATATTTCCTTCCATTCTGTAGGTGATCTCTTCACTTTGTCAATTGTTTCCTTTGCTATGCAGAAGCTTTTGAATTTGATGTGATCCCAGTTGTCCATTTTTGCTTTGATTGTCCATTTTTGCTTTGATTGTCTGTGCTTTTGGGATATTACTCAAGAAATCTTTGCCAAGCATGACGGCCTGTGATCACATCACTTTGAAAGGCTGGGGTAGGCAGATCACCAGGAGCCCAGCCTGGCCAACATGCCAAAACCCCATCTCTACTAAAAATACAAAAATTAGCCAGGTGTGGTGGCCTGTGCCTATAATCCCAGCTACTTGGGTGGCTGAGGCAGGAGAATCACTTGAGCCTGGGAGGTGGAGATTGCAGTGAGCTGAGATTGTGCCTCTGCACTCCAGACTGGGTGATGGAGCAAAACTGCATCTCAAAGAGAAAAGAAATCTTTGTCCATACCAGTGGCCTGAGAGCTTCCCCAAGGTTTTATTTTAGTACTTTCATAGTTTGAGGTCCTACATTTAAGTTTTTAATCCATTTTGATTTGATTTTTTATATGGAGAGAGATAAGGGTCTAGTTTTATCCTTTTGCAAGTTAGTATCTGGTTTTCCTAACACCATTTATTGAAGAGACTCTCCTTTCCCCCAGTGTATCTTTGGCGCGTTTGTCAAAAATGAGTTCATTGTAGGTATATGGGTTTATAGATTTTTTTTTGAATAGCAGGTTTTTACATTTATTATTGTGTATTTCCTCCCCTTTTTGCACTACTATCTACGCTGAGTGATCTACTGCCAACTGGCACCAGTTCTCCAAATCAAAGTGTCTGAGGAAAACACACTTGTGCCATCCTCTTTAACAGAAGGTACCGCAGGCAATCTGTCTGTCTGCTTCTGTTACCCAGAAATGAACTGACGTGAAGGGCTGCTTGGCTGGAGGGGTCGGGCCGCAGAGCGTCCTGTCTTCAGTCGGAATCCATGGTGAACAGCTGGATGGCCTGAGGGTTCCGGTACAAGCCGACTGCTGAGTTGTAGACACGAGACCAGACATAGGGGATAATAAACTCCTCAGGCTTCTCCTCCATATATTTGAATTTCAGTTCTGGATATTTCTTCAGTCTGTCTTTGGGCAGTGCAACGACACCTTGCTTAATTATTTCCAGGACCCGTTCCACTGACAGCTCAGCTCTAGCTTGTAGCAACCTTGAGCTAAAGAAGGTGATCACCAGATCAGTATTTTGCGTTATATCCTGAAATGAAGGATGAGCTCGAAATTGTTCAAAGAGTTCATGTTTGTATAGCAGGGCATAAACCAAGTTTGGGTTGTGGTGAAGGGAATTTGTCAGGCAGGAGTTGATGATCTCTAACATCATTCGAATCACTTCTTCAATGACATTTAGGTCTTGTGCATAATCTGGTAGAGGAACATCATTAGAACTCAGTGAACCTCTGAAGGACTGTGTGGCTTGTTCCAGAAATTTGTTGTGTTTTTGAGACAGCAAAGAAAATAAACTGATGATCCTCTGGGCAGCATACTGATGGGGAGAACAAAACTGTGCTAACATATTTGCTAAAGCTGCCAAACAATTTGTGTGAAGGTACTTGTCCCTTGTCCTAGTCATGTTGTACCGAATGGTTCTTATTACCACCAGGATCAGGAGACTCCCAAGGGAGATTTCAGTTAAAACTCGTTCTGAATACCAAGTAATATCCTTTAGTATCACTTCATGAATGGATCTGTTGAAGCCATCATCTTCTGTAAGGATCAACAGTATTATAAGGGCCATATACACATGGTGAGAATTCCTTTCTTCAACATGATACAGAATCTCAAGAATTGGTAAAACAAGATTTTCCATCTGTGCGAGCCAACTTGTATGTTCTAATATTACTATTTTGATGGAGCAATGTATACAAGAGGAGAGTTGCTTCATCAGATGTCTGCTGTTCACAAAGAGCTGTGTACAAACTATTCAAGGCGATCTGGAAGGCATGTGGAATGGATGAGGGGAAATTCTAGGCTCTCTATTCTGTTCCATGGGTCCATGTGTCTGATTTCATGCCAATACCACGCTGTTTTGGTTATTATACTCTGTAGTATAATTTGAAGTCAGGTAATGTAATTCTTTTTGGTCAAGATGGCTTTGGATAGTATAGGTGTTTGTGGTTTCATATAAATGTTTGGATTTTTTTTTCTACTTCTGTGAAAGATGTCATTGATATTTTGACTGGAATTGTGTTAAATCTGTAGACTTCTCTGGGTAGTATTGACATTTTAACAATATTGATTCTTCCAATGCATAAACATGAAATATCATTCAATTTTTGTGTCCTCTTTAATTTCTTGCATCAATATTGTATAGTTTTTATTGTAGAGATTTTTCAGTTTTGGGGTTAATTCCTAGGTATCTTATTTTATTTTTAGCTGTCATAAATGGGATACATTTGATTTGTTTTTTCAGATTATTTGCTGTTGGGATACAGAAATGCTACCAATTTTTGCATGGCTATTTTGTATCCTGCAAATCTACTGTATTTGTTTATCAGTTCTAATAGGGTTTTTTTTTGGTGAAATCTTTACATTTTTCCAAATATAATATCACATCATCTGCCAAAAAAAGTGATTACTTTCATTGTAATTCAGATGCACTTTATTTCTTTCTCTTGACTGATTGCTCTACCTAGGACTTCCAATACTATGTTGAATAACAATGGCGAAAGTTGGTATCCTTGTTTTATTCCAGATTTTAGAGAAAAGGTTTTAATTTTCCCTTTCATTATAATACTAGCTGTGGATCTGTTATATATGGCTTTTATTGTGTTTAAGTATCTTCCTTCTACCATTTTTGAGTGTTTTTATCATGAAGGGATGTTGGATTTTATCAAATGCTTTTTCAGCATCAACTGAAATGATTTTATGACTTTTGACCTTCATAAGTTTGGTATAATGTATTGCATCGATTGATTTGCATATGCTGAACCATTCTTGCATCACTGGAATAAATCCCACTCGGTCATGATGAATCATCTTTTTAATGCAATGTTGAAGTCAGTTTGCTAGTATTTTGTTGAGGATTTTTGCATCAGTATTCATCAGGAATATGGTCTGCAGTTTTCTTGATAAGTCTTTTTTGGTTTGCGGATCAAGTAAATAGCATAGTTTCATAGCATGAGTTTGGAAGTATTTCCTCCTCCTTTACTTTTTGAAATTATTAGGAAAAAAATAAAAATAAAAAAAGAAATTATTTGAGTAGGATTGCTATTAGTTCTTTAAATGTGTGGTAGACTTCAGCAATTAAGCCACTGGATCTCAGACTTTTCTTTGCTGGAGAATTATGGATTTTATCTCTTTACATGTTATTGGTTTATTCAGACTGTGGAGTTCTTCATGATTCAATCTTGGTAGGTTGTATGTGTCTAGCAATTTATTCATTTATTTAGGTTTTCCAATTTATTGGCATATAGTTGTTAATTGTATTTCCTAATGCCCCTTTAACTTTCCGCAGTACCAGTAATAATGTGCATTTATTAACCTCTGATTTTCTTTAATTGGTCTTCTTTCTTTTTATACTAGTCTGGCTAAAGGTTTGCCAGTTTGTTTAGCTTTTCAAAAAACAACTTTTTGTTTTATTAACAAAACAAAAATATATGGTGCATATATATTTATAATTGTGATATCCTCTATCTCAGTTGACCCCTTTATCATTATATAATGACCTTCTTGATTTCTTTTTATAATTTTTCTCTTGAAGGCAATTTTGTTATAAGTATAGCTACTCCTGTTTTTTCTGTTTCTATTTGCATGGAATATTTTGTTTCATCCCTTTATTTTCTGACTACTTGTGTATATTTATAGGTGAAATGTGTTTCTTGTAGACGACATATAATTGGGTTTTGTATTTTTTTAATACATTCATCCACTCTATCTTTTGATCAGAGAGTTTAATCCATTTACATTCAATGTTATTATTGCTACGTAAATGTTATTTGTCAATAAAACCTATTTTTTTTATTATTTACTTTCTGGCTGTTCTGAGGTCTTCTCTCCCTTTCTTCTTTCCTTTCTTGTCTTCCTTTCTATGAAGGTGGATTTCTCTGGTAGTATGTTTTCATTTACTGCTTTTTATTTTTTTCAGTTACTGTTGTAGGTTTTAAATTTTAGGTTACTATGAGGCTTGCAAATAACATCTTAGAATCCATTATTTTAAACTGATGACAACACTGATCGCAAAAACAAACTAAGAGGCAAAGAGAGAATTAATAAAAGTTCTACATTTTAACTTCATTCCTCTGGCTGTTTAAATTTGTGTTCTTTTTGTATCTTATATTGTCTAGGTCTTGAGAAATTATTTTTAATATGTTCATTATTTAGTCTTTCTACTCAAGATATGAGTAGTGTCCATACCACAATTGCAGTGTTACAATACTCTGTGTTTGTCTGTGTACTTTCTTTTACCAGTGAATTTTATACCATCAGATGACTCCTGAATTTTACTTTGGAAAGTCATGGGTTTACTTTCCCAACTCAAATAGTTTAGCATATCTAACAACAAATCTTATCCTAGACAAATTTACATCTATAATCAATGGAGCTGGGCATGGTAGCACCTCTGACACCATTCTTAAGACTTTTCTTTGGCCTAAGATGTGGCCTTACTGAAAAATCTAGTCATTCTTTCAAAAATAGTGCTTCTCAATCTGAGTCTTCCTCTGGTTGATTTCCAGAGCCATGGAATAGTTGTTTTTGATCTTTGTTTTTCTGATGTAGTGCTTTATGAGAATTATTTCATAGACGGTGGTAGAGACATAGGAATATAATGTCTACGATAGAAGGATGAAGTTAAAGTAATGATTTATGTTATTCTTTAGTAAATCAAAGGTGTATATTCAATGATTAGTAATAACACTGAAAGTAAGAAAATAAATTACAAACACAAGCTTGTTGTGGCATAATTTAAAAAAAATGTTTGGTTAGTAAGAAAGGAGAGAAGAACAAGAGTAGTTGGGATGAAAAGTAAACATTAAAATGTTTATAATGTGTACTATGCCAGTGATACAACTAGAATAGGCATTTGATTTAAAAGACAGATATTATCTAAATGCTAGTTAATAAACAGAATACTAAAATCAGAAGATAACATACATCACTGAGGTAAAAAGTTGATCCTTTGAAAACTTTATCAATGCTGCTAGGGTTGATTGATTTTTATTAAAGAGATGAAACACAAGATAATATTTATGATTTAAAAGTAGACTGCTAAAAAACCTACAATTTTTGCAGACATTTAAAAAATTAGAGGATATCAAGCCAAATAATTATGAATTTAGACATAAAATAGACAGATTCCTGGAAAAAAACATACTATTACAAGCACAAAAAGAAATAGAAAAATCTGAACAATTCTACATTTATTCAAGATCTTAAAACTATATTAAAATCTTCCCACAAAGAAATCTGCAGGACCAGATGGCTTTAGTAGTGAGTTCGTCCAAATGTTTAAGAAGGAAATAACAACATTCTTTTTCATACCGCTCTACAGAAATTACAACAAAAAAAGTTGGGGAGACGTTTTCAACTTCTTTTATGAAACAAAAAAATCTCTGAACACGATAATATGATAAAGACATGACAAGGTAGGAAAACCAGAAGCTATAAACCAGTTATCCTCATGAAAATGATTTTAAAATAAAAAATAATAATAGTAAATTGAATTTACCAACATATAAAGAGGATGCCAAATCATAATCATATGAGCTTATTTCTAAAAGCATTTATTTTTATTTTTTAAACACTTGGTAATCACTTGATATAAATTTTCTCATTAAATAAATAAAAAAGCAAAATTTAACGTCATCTCAGTGATGCCAAAAATGCATATGAGAAAGTCAACAGCTAGCAACTATAAATACATTGACAAGCTAGGAGGCGAAGGAGACTCTCTTAATCTTGTAAGCATTATTGAACAAAAGCAACAACAACAAAAAACTACCATAGTATGTATAACACTTAATTATAAATTATTAAAAATGTTTCTTCTGAGGTCTGGACTGAAACACAAATGTCTCCTCCTACCATTTCTATCCAGCATTGCATGAGAGTCCCAGCCAGAAAAATAAAGCATGGAAAAAAAAAATGAAATTACAGTGATTTGAAAGTAAGAACTGAAAATATTTAGAAAATATCAAACGATATACAATCTAAATAAATTGAAATTATACATTTAGCACAAACCTAATATAAAGTCAGCAAAAATGTTAATTGTATTTCTGTATAGTAATAGTAAACAGTTAGAAAGTGAAATTTTAAACTATTTAAAATATACCATAAAACATTAAGTACCTGTGATACTTCTAACAAACGTGCAGATCATATAAGTAGACAACTATAAAACACAATGAACATGAATTAAAGAAAGCCTCCAAAAAAAAAAATCTTCTTTGGAAGACTCAATATGAACAGAGCTTCACTTAATATGCAAAGTTCTGCATATGTGAATCCAAACATTTGATGTCCCTCTAATGAAAAGGTAGTTTGCCTATTTGTTTGTTTATTTTTATTCATTTATTGTCATTGGCATACAGACTCTAAAATTCATTAGAATTTTAGGGTCGGAGTAACTAACATAACTTAAACGGGAATCACAAAATTAGAGGATTTATGGTACCAAATATCAAGACTTATAATATAGGTAGAATTGTTAAAACCACTGAGCATTAGTTCAGTATTCAACAGAATAGAATCAGAAGCACAGAAACAAACTCCCAAATGTTCTATAATTTGACTTATGACAATGATTGTACTGCAGTCCAATGCAGAAAGGACATTTTTATAACAAATGATGCTAGACCAATTGGATATCCATTATCAAAAATCTTGACACATCAAATTATACATAAAACTGTATTCATTTCCATATATTTTATGGAATTAGCATTGATACAGATTTCCTAAACAGAATTTGAGAATAGGACTGACCTAAAGAGAACTACATATAAATTACACTAAAATGATACTT